GGTCCCAAGATTTCTGCTTTTATATTCCCCAAAAATGACGAGCTTCGTAAAAAATGGTTGACAGTTATTAAAAGAGATAATTTCACTCCTACTAGTAGTTCTCGGGTAAGAAGTGCATTAAATATGCCTCAAAAAGGCCAAAGGCCAAAGCCTCTGTTACCTTAGTGAGGATATAGTTATGGCTACTGCTTACACTTACCTCACTATAAGTAAAATATTGAAAGAAGAATCAAGCTTTTTACATCAAAAAGATCACAGAAAGATATTGACAACATTGACATTTGAAAATATAAATGGCCTGGATGTAAGTCTTTTTTTAGGTCACAAGTCACAATTGCCCCGCACATACGTCAGAATTTATTATTAAATCCATCTTGTTCAGATAATAAAATATATTTTATTGAAGAACTATTATTACTAACTATGCAAAAGGAATTACGTCTTTACCACAAAGACAATACCCTATGTAAAGAGAAAGAGTAAAGAAAACTAAGCTAAGCGTAAGTTTTACTTACGAACCCCCCAAAAAGGTATTTAGTTTTTTTTTTCTATATAAAATCTTGAAACACATATTATATTTTTAATTTATCCTCACCTATTATAGCTTAAATTTATTCCCATTTGTGTAATGCTGCAAAACATAGAAAAAATATTCCATATTTTTTGACCCAAGCCAGTGTAGTTTATAATTCGAAGAGCATTTACTAAGGCTTCTAAGACAAGTAACTTCCTATACTGTCCATAATAGTATATATTTATCAAACGTTCAGTAAATTCTAAACTATGGTAGGTAAGTGTTTGCAATTAAATATTTAGTTTATATTGCTATTTTCTGTCATATATTTCTGGTTATTTCTTTTTCCGATGATTTTTAACACACTCTATATGCTACTTCAAGTTTGAATATTTTAACACCACTTATTTTCTGAGAAAGCAGACCTTTTTATAAAAAGTAACTAACTGATGTTTTCATAAAAGTAATAATACAAAAAATTCCATACTTATGTGGAGAAATGTAATCTAACCCGACATTTGTGGGAAAAATGTCTATTTGGAAACAAAGCAGGTTTTAAAATACGCGCCAAATAAAGCACTTCTATCTCCGCCATATTGGAAAAGGTTGAATGGCCTTGTGCGGAGGTGGTGATGGGTCAGCATGGTGGCCCGGCCACTGCCGTGTTGCCGCTTTTCAACATGCCAGCTGTGACGTATTAAAAATAAAGTGCGGATTTTTATTCTGGGCTTTTTTGTTTTTATTTATTTTCTTAAGAACGACTTCAAATTTTTCGAAAGTGAGATAGCAGAAAATTCTAGAATTAATTGTTTTATTCAATTATGTTAATTCCAAAATATAGTGAAAGAGCCCATTATCATGGTTTTTATAGCCTTCCTGTAAAGTTCGTTTAAAAATCGTTTTCAGTTATTGTGATATACCATAAAATGAAAACGAAATATTTAAAATCATCTAGTTAGTGCATTTTTAGCAATATACTTTTATGCTTTCGATATGGCTATCGCACTTCCGCTTGAGAACCACATAGAGGAAATGGTCAAACTGACTTAATATAAATATTTAACAGACACATAGGTTGTTTCGTCATTATAATATGGGAATAATCTATTACTACATGTGAGCTAAAATTCAATCTAAATAAATGGTTTCCACTTATACCGGGTGCGTCTCAAAAGTGACTCACCCCTATAACTTTTTTTTATTTTTTCAGGTAAAAAAACGAAATTTGCGATGATTAACTTCCTCCCTCATCTACAATCTACAATCGAAGAATATCATCGCTGCGTTTCTATTTTTTTTTTATTTTCGTTTTCGTGTTATTTACGACAACATCGGTGTGAAAACAAAAACGCGGAAAACAACAGCGACGGCGTTAAAAAAAAAACACGTCCGTTACTAAAACAAATTAATTAGATAGAATAAAGAGCGGTTAAAAGTTTCGGCGTTTCTAATTAAAAATGGCAGAATGGATTTTTACACCGGTTTACGAAGTTGCGGGCGGCACGGATGCGATATTCATTGAAAAAGTTCTCCGCGCTTTCGGTTTCTGTTGATTCTGTGTCCAATTAGAGCCGCTATAAACGGTGGTGGTCGTTTGTTCTCACGTAAATTACGAAAAGATTTTCCAAAAATTTTGCAAATATGTGAAATATAATGTTAAAAATGTCTATACCTCTGTGGCGGATTCATCTCTTCCAAAAAATGCTATGCTTATACCGCCACTTGCTCTGTAAGAAAAGCTACAAAATAAAATAGTTATTTGTTTTTAAACACCGCTGTGTTAATCCAACGGACATCAATATGTCACCAGTGTTTGACTAATAAAACAAATTTGCTTAACGGACAAAAAATGCTTATTTATTATTATTTTATGCGGGATTTGTTTTTTTATTTTAAGCATTTTTTTCTTTTTGTTTCTTTATCTCTCTTTATTGAGATGTACTTCATCACACAGTCTCAGGGCTTAGACGAAAGCCAGTATTTGAGACGGTTTTACTGAGGTTAGTTCTCCATCTCTGATGTCAGTCGTATCAAAGTTTATGGCATGGAATGGTTGTCGTCTCGGCGCACTCAGTGATGAGATGTTCTGGTGTTTTCCCATTTTCAGCATTCACAGTTGTTCCATAGCTTCAATGCTTCTTCCTCAGTGCTTCAATCTACTGAGATGGTTATATATATTTGCCATCTGGATAGCTCACATAGCGCCCGCTTATAGTTTATTTGTAATAATTGATAGTGATGGGTTGTTATTTAACTATCTGTTATTCTATAACAATTATTTAGAAATAACATAACGCAACCGTTACTATTTCTAAAAAATAACAGATATAAAATAACGACACGTAGAGATCGGCCGCTCGTGAAACCAAAAACGAAGTCGGCGCTCTGCACCGCCACGAAATTCTATGCTGCTCGAAGCAATTCCAAAAAACAACTAGTATGGATGGAAAACATGTTATTTCGTCAACCATCGATACAGGCGGCGAGACAACGGACAACGGAGTGGGGAATGCGCTACGGTGAACGTAGCTGCTTCGGTCGACGCCGTCGATGGTCGTATTGGGCTTACGACAGTTTGAAAATAATAGGATATAAAAGAAGCAGGTTTTTTGAAACAGTTGCGGGCATAACGCCTGGCGGCCGAAATAACACTGATAACAGGAATGGGAAAGGAACGCTGCTGCATCGGTCGATTGTCGATGGAGACTCGCAACGGGTTGGAGAAGCAGTCATTTTAGATACGTTGTTGTTCAACCTGTTACGAGCATAACAGGGCCGCGGTCGAGATAATCGGAGTGGGAAAGGAACGCCGCTGCATCGGTCGATTGTCGATGGAGGTTCGAAACAGGTTGGAGAATAACGCATCAGTTGTTTTAGATACATTGTTTTTCAACCCCTTACGAGCATAACGGGCGGAGGTCGAGATATTATGGCGCTGTATGTTTCAGTACATTATTAAGTTTCAATATTTACGTATTTATTTATTCTGAAAAATTTTCAGAATAATATTTTAAGATTTTTTAAAAATGTATACAGGGTGTTTTGAAAAATCTGGTCATTGATTAATCACGATCCTGCTTAAAGCCCTTGACGTAAAAAGCTGATTTTTGAAAAACGGATTGACTTTAGGGTGTAGAGGTTCGATAAGAAGGGATTTTTCGAAACTCGAATTCTAAGGGGCTGAAACCACCCTCAAATATTAGAATATTTTTTATTTAAAAACCGGTGAGTTTTCCGGAAAAACTCTTAAACACGTATATTTTATTTCGTTGTCTTACATATTTTAAGATTTTTTAAAAATATATAGAAGGTGTTTCATAAAATATGACTATTGAGTAATCACGATTCTGCTTAAACTGCTTGACGTTTAAAGCTGATTTTAGGCAAACGGATTGACTGTGGGGTTGAGGTTCGATAAGGAGGGGTTCCTCGAATCTCAAATTCCAAGAGGGTGAAAACGCCCCTCAAATATTACAATATTTGTTATTTAAAAAACGGTTAGTCTTTCGGGAAAACGCTTGGACACGCATAATTTATTTTGTTTTTTACATATTTTGAAATTTTTTAAAAAATCATACAGGGTGTTCCAAAAAGTTGAGTAATTGATTAACCACGATTCTGCTTAAACTGCTCGACGTTTAGAGCTTATTTTTGGCAAATGCGAGGAAATTTTATCCAGTTGTACCCAATTTGTAAAGAGCGCTTATTTGTAAACAACCACCGTTTTTAGAGAGGTATTTTAGATAACAATCGATATTTAGAAATGTTTTCACACCCTCGAAATACTACCACCGAGCATGTCATTATTGCAACTTGCTGCGTTAATACGCCTGGCGGTGACCGCCTCATACTCTTTCAGATATTTAGCAATAAAATAAAGAAACCTGTTATTTTTAAGTTGTTATTTTAAGCTGTTTTTTATAAATAACTATAACAGTTTCAACCGTTATCTAAAAATAACAGTTTGTCCATCACTAATAATTGATGTCTACTGTAAATCAGTGACATTGTAGAATAGGAATTCAATGGACAATAACTAAAAAATGGCGTATTCAAAATCTAGAAAGATATTGAAATATATAAGTAATAATTAGTAAATAGTTGACTCGAGATATAAACGAAGATATAGAGAATAAAGAACAGCAACTGTCAAGTCGTCAGATACTATATAAAAAAATCAAGTAGCAATTATGAATCGAAAACAGTACAAGATACGAAAATAGATGAATTTAGAAGTGAATTCCACAAATAAAGATAGAACGAAAGAAGAAAAACAAAGAGCAAAGAAAAAAGAAATAGAAACTAAGATCAGATCGCATCATGGCAAAGAGGAAGCCTCGAAGACTATATTATAATATTGTTATAAACTAGTTAAATATTTATAGACTTTTAGAATTTTAAGAATAAAATCTTATGTGGAATAGAAATGTGGATTTTTTTATTGTTTTGGTTTGGTTAATTTTTAAGTTAGCAAATAAAAACTAACCTGTTACAAAGTGCATACGTCGAATTGTGTGACCAGCAAATTTACCTGAAACAAAAAATATTTGGGTAAGAATATATTCAAAAACATTTTAAGTATTACAATCAAAAATATTACATATCTACAATGAGAATCGTTGTTAATTTTGGTAAGGTCAAACTCTAGACGTCATTACTTGATCCGTACTCTTCTTCATTTTTTAATGGCGCTTGGCTACCAGTTGGCCTTGAGAAGGTTCTAATTCATTTTTATATTGAGTAAAAATGATTTTAAATGGGGTAATTTAAAATTCGAGAAAATAGTATATTGTTTTATTAGGAGTAAAAATGATACCTTTTGTGGCGAGGTTGTACGTTTGACATACAGGCGAATGCACAAAAAGAATTTTTACTCCGAATAGAACATGCTATTTTTTTTTTCAAACGGAACAAATAATTTTTTAAATGATTTGAAACATTCAAAAAAGTAGAAGAAAGTAGTTAGAACGGGGGTGGGGGGGTTGGTATCGTATCCTTTTTTTAATCTCTCTATAATTTTCGTGTTAAGTTTGAACAAGATTTACCTCAATTTTTAGTAAATAACTAGAGTTAGACCTAGAGATTGACCTCGCCAAAATTATTTATTATTTAATACGATAATTCACATTTTACAAAAAATTCTTTGTTTCTTCTCTGGTCTCTGTTTTTAATATTACGTAATTAAATAAAAGGAAAAGAATCATTTGCATGTTTTAATCTGTCACATTTTGAGCGTAATGTTCCGAGCTACATAAAATGTCCACCGATTGTGCTATTGTATTTGGTCCCTCTTAAGGTGCTGAAAGGATTTCAAAACTGGATTGGACCAAGTCTAAACAATATCCGTTGTGGGGTACGTTTTCTTAAGCCAATGGGCAAAACGGATTAAAGAAATAAGGGTGAAGGGTCAATTCCATAAAGGACCCTATCGGACGTTTGAACGTGTGTAATGAATCGAGAAAATGTCGGTTTATGCCAAGAAGTAAAACGAAATATTTTTATTAAGAAAGATATATTTTTGTAAATTTGGTTTTATTGTAACATAAAAATTATAAAATTGTTTTTTAAAGTAGAAACAAGCAAACATATTGTAATTTCTGTTAAACTCTACCGGGTGCGTCTCAAGAGTGGCTCACCCCTATAACTTTTTCAATTCAAAGATTGTCCTAGATTTAAGTAAGAACAATCTTCGGATTTTCACGGGGTTTTTAGTACGAAACTGTCTCCTCTATGAACACCGCAGCATATTGAAGCTCAGAAACAATGGCGAACTCAGATTCTGTAGGGAAAGTGGGTAAACACCAGAAACCTCATCACTGAGTAAACCAAGACAAACTTTGGTACGATTGATATCAGAGATGGAGAACTAACCTCTGTAAAACCGTCTCAGATACTGACTTTTAGAAAAAGGGACACAATATAGTCGCGGTGACTTTCCTCCTCCCATACAATCAACAATATGGCATAAAAGAAAATCATTCGAAATTGGCAACGCTGTTTTCGCCACCGCGGTCTCTTCATCGATGTTAACAGAACCAGCTACCTGATCGCCGACTGCGATATCGATCTTGATACCGTCGATATCGATCTAATTGACGATCTTAAATAGCGGCTACTTATAATAAATCAAGCCCTCTTTCGGCGGCGTAGAATATTACTGGAAAATCGGCGAGCGGCTCCGGGACTTCCTTTAGCAGAAAACAGACCTCCGAGGACAAGTTTATAGGCAAATTGTTCCGATAATGCTGTAAATAGCGTTTAAAATGTTGCTACTGGGTAAATAAGTAGTGGGTTAAAACGACGGGTATATAATATATAATTCTAAAGAGAGATCTATCTGGTAGTACATCTTTTTAATTTTAAATCGTTTCCTTATTAAGTTCCCGGACTTGTAATACAATAATTATTCTTATCTAGTAAATAGATCTTTTGTATCTACCTGTGTTGGGGTCATGTTCATCAATCATTCTTTGTTATGAATGTAAAGCCACTTTAACATTTTTAAAGTTGGTTGCTTTATTGACATACGTTGTACCAAGTGTAATGTTTTTGATCAAAAATAATATCTACTATCTCATGATTTCGTTAATACTATAATGGACGTATTGAATCCATTAAATCTAGTTTTCTTGAAAATCCTTCACGATTTCAAACTAACCAAAGAGCACGTTCTCACGTAAAAAGCTCCTAGATTTTTATGTCCATAATATGTTGAAAAATAACGACTGTTCTGTTTTGAAGAAATTAAAACTAGAATAGGACAGGGGAGAACAACATTTGTGAAAATGAAAAGAGTGCTCTGTGGCAGCGATCTCAGCTTGGATTTAAAAATCAGAATGGTGCGATGCTATGTTTTGTCGGTGCTGTATTATGGTGTAGAGGCTTGGACTCTGCAGAAACTTGACATAAGGAAACTAGAGGCATTCGAAATTGGTTGTACCGTAGAATACTTAGGGTAAAATGGACCGATAAAGTGACCAACATGGAAATCCTGAAAAGAATAAAAAAGGAAAAAGAAATTATCATAACGGTAAAAAAGCGTAAACTTCAGTACCGTGGACACGTCATGAGAGGAGAAAAGTACCACCTGCTCTAACTGATTTTAGAATTAGAATAAGTGGGAGGGGGGTTAATCTCTGCGACCTTAGAGATCTATTGTGTCCCCCTTTCTTGAGTTATAACTCATCATACAGTCCCAGGACTTCCTACAGAGACCCGTGTCCCTCACCGTCGAGGAGCTACGACCCAGGCCGGGTAGACGAAACGGTAGCTTGTGTCGCTTGTTAGGTTTAGAGGTAGGAGGTAGGCTCCCGACCCTTGGAGGAGGTGGTAGCTTGTATGTCACTTGCGGAGGATGGTCTCACGCAAGTGTCAGCCACCTCTCCTGTAGTTTTCTTTGGGTTTGGCCCCTTGGAACTTTCATTGTTACTGTTCCCAGTGTCGCTAGGGGGTTTCCCCACAGCTTCACCGGTGATGTTTTTATTACTATTATTACCAGATCTCATAGTGTTCCTATGCGTCGCTAGGGACAGTCGGTCCACTTCTACAGAGCCCCGCATGTAGAACTAAAGGGTAAAATACAATGGGGTCCCCCCGGTGCCCCAAGGTTGAGGCTGTCCCCGCCCGGTATCGTTATATGTCTTGGTGCAATTCCCTGGCTACGACACTACAGTCAGGGACAAGACGATGAGTAAGATGCTTCTTAGACCAAGCCAAGTGCTAGAGGGGATTCCCCCCAGCACCTGACCAGGAGCTTCCCCACCAACGACGACAAGGTCTTGCAACTCCTAGGGGAAGTACTCCAACTGATATTACAAGGAAAAATTCAAGGAAAGAGAAGTGTAGGAAGAAGGCGCCACTCATGGATGAGAAACTTACGTGACTGGTTCGGGTGCACCACAAACGAACTATTTCGGTCGGCTGTGTCACGAATACGTATAGCACTGATGATTGCCAACCTTCGCAACGAAGAAGGCATTTGAAGAAGAAGAAGAATATGTTGAAATTACTGTATCGATAAGGATAAAAGAGGTTTTGTGAGAATCTGCCCTCTTCTGTAATTGAAAACACCTTTTCAATTTTTTTACGGAATTTTGCACTATTGCCATTCGCCTTCAAATTGAAATATGTGTATAAGAGTATCACATTTACAAGGAGAATTGTTTACCAATGTTTTTAAAAATAAACGGAAATATATTATTTCATTCACACTTTCAAAATATGTTTCATCTATCATTTAAAGGGTTATCCATTTCGGGAATCATATTTTATTTTTATCCATAGAATCAGCCGGTGATGTAGAACATGATACATTATTTTTTACACGCTCTGTAGTATAAGTTTAATAATTAATTATAAAACCATCACTCAAACCTTTACAGTTTACAACTAGGGTCGCTTTTTTGTACTTGTGTCTCAAAAGTGGCTCACCCCTATAACTTTTTTATTTTATCAGATAAAAAAACGAGATTTGGTATGTTAGTATATGACATACATTAGGATTCATTGAAGTATTGAATTGTTTTTTGTCACTTACTGTTTCACCGAAAACAACTAGAATTTTTGATTTTTAAATGGAACCCTCTGTAATTTTTTACTTTATTCTATAGAAAATGACATTCTAACTAGAATGCCATATCATAACTTTTGACATTTTTGCTTAAAACAAAATTGAATTTTAAATTTCAATCTAGGGTGCCATTCCTGGTGCCATTGCTGGTGTTAAAAACACTAGCTAATTTGGTACCACACACTTGGCATTTCGAGTCAAATTGTCGTTATGAATCGCACGTTGCAATTTCAAATAAACCATATTCGAAAATGTCAAAAGTTGATATATGATATGTCATTCTATTCAGAGTATCATTTTCTATCGAATAAAGCAAAAAAATCAAAAGTTGTAAGATAAGTGTCTAAGGAACTTATCTCATCAACCTCTAGAATGGTCTATTATGCCCTTTTTGAGTCGCATCTTCGTTATGCCCTTCCATTCTGGGGTACTTGCTGCGCGACAAAATTTGATCGTATTTTCAAGCTTCAAAAGAGAGCAGTTCGATACTTATTGGGACTAAACAGTAGAACTCACTGCCAGAATTTCTTTAAAAATTTCAAAATACTGACTCTTCCTTCCTTATTCATTGTTGAATCCGTTTGCTTAATCCGCAAGCACATATTCTCTATTCCTGAAAGGCCTTCTCACAACTATCCACTTAGGAATGCGGAGCACGATATTTATCTGCCAACCCCGAGCTCAGAACTAGTTAAGGGCTCAATACTGTACAATGCCAAGAAAATGTACAATCATTTGCCTTCGAATATCAAGTCACTTTCATTCTTTCCCGCATTTCGCAAAGCTCTGAAATCATACTTACTGGAGAGAGCCCTATATGCGGTAAACGACTTTTTTGTTGATGTTTAATCATGAACAATTTTGAATTTTAAAATTTTGATCATCTCACACACTGGTTAGAGGTCTAGTATTTAATATTTTATAACTCTTGATTTTATGTTATTATAACATGATTTTATCCA